GATGACCGTAGTCCCAAATAATTCGATCTTCCGTAGATGATGAATGTCTTTTGGTTTCCGAACAAACACTTTTCACTATCCTGGCAGGATCGCCAAAATGTCACGTAAAATAACAAAATAAAAAAGGAATTTGAGGTAAAAAATAAAAAAAGGAAACTTTATTTTTTTTCTAACATCAATACACTTTACTATCTACTTCCGAACCCTAGGCGTGACTTTCTAAGACTGACTCTTATGATTTTACTTTCGATCGGATCCGATTACTTTCTTTTGTCATCCCTCAACATCCCCACCGTCCATGCATTTGCTAGGCGTCCGCGATCGTTGCCACGTGCTCTTTCTTCTAGAACCTTCGATGGAAGGACCGTTGGGATGTTGATGGTTCATTAGGCACTTCAGCGATATACATTGTCACCGAGTGCCGCCACATCTTCATCTCTATCGTCAGTCCGTCGGATTTGAAGTATGCCGGTCGTGACAATAGCTCTTACACATCGGAATACATGCAATAATTACGCACATTAAATAAATGCAAATAATATTATTCCCACTGCAATTATACGTCAACTATTAAAATGGAGTCACAAATAATTAACGGATAAATAATGGATTTCGCATTAATAAAATGTCACTGTATACTACGAACATTCACAGGCGGCCATTTTGGATAATCAACACGTGCATATAGTAGCCTTTATGCGTTACAAAACAGATCATATTTTCAGTGAAGGAATAAATATTTAATAAATGATAATAAAAATGGAAGATCGTAACAAAGAAAGAATAAATAATGATCAATACAACGTAACGCAAGAATATTGGAAATTAATAGAAACCAGCCGTGAGAAACAAACCATGAAATAATATGTTAAGCTTACTATTATAAAAAAAATGATATTTTAACGCATAAGAAGACTCGGCAAATACTAAGTTGCCATGCGCGTTGAATGATTCACTGGCATCAGCAAGGAAGTTACCAGATACATCGCAGATGCAACTTCAGCAAGGACAAGTTGGCCCGCGCCTGCCACGTTCCACTGGCATCAGTAAGAACATTCTGGGAAACATCGCAGACGCACCATTAGCAAAATACGAGCTACTACGATACCGACATTTTATCACGCACCTTGCATGTCCCTAATACCCAACGAAATATGAGAAATTAAGAAGACGAAACTTCAGCAGCATCTACGTGTCTCAAGGATATGAGAAATTAGGAATAGCGTAAATAAGATAATCAAGAAGACGAAACTTCAGCACAATCCGCGAAAGTAGGCAGTTACAATATTCCTAATTTGTCACGTAACAATGCTGTGATTCCCAATAGAGATGATCTATCACGTGACAATTAGGAAATTATAAATAAGCGGGAATAACATAGAGTAGAAGAGTCCTTATTCAAAATTCAGACCATTCACATCGTCACTCTGTCCGTCGAAATCGAATATTAACTCAAGAGTCTTCATCCAAAATTCAAATCGTTCACATCGTCACTCTGTCCGTCGAAATCGAATATTAAATATGGTTTCAAAAAATCATCATTCGAATTAAGCATTCGTATTGTCACTTCATCTGCGGAATCAAAGTTAATTGTCAAAATTCGACACGTCACCAAGCCATACATACCGCCGATCGACTTTACATCTAATCAAGGTAGGAAATTTGAAATTGTATATCCTCTTCTCTTTTAACTTGCAGTCGAACAAAGTCGTCTCTGAACAAAAGCACCCGTCGGCAGCTATAGTTGACAGATAAAACTATCAAGCACACAATTTACATAGATTTCATCCGAACGTCTTGAATTCACGATATAAAATTGAAATAAACGTTCTTGCTCAAGATTTAATAAATTGTCTTGAATAAAACAACTTTATCAAATTTCGATCTATTTCGTTTACAATTGTTCGCTGTATCAACCAGTGATTACGGTGTTTTCAACGCAGAGAACATCTATGGTTTTTCGTTTTCCTCTTCCCATCGTTAGCAGATTGCTCATCCTTGGGCGAGGCCTACGAAGCCACACTGATTGTCCACGGTGAACCTAGTTGCCAATTAAAATAATCATTTCTCGCTTACGACTTCACTAGTTGCCAAAAATGACTTATATTTTCTAAATTGTTAAATCTAACTGATTATTCGCTGTGTTAAATCTGTGTTACGGTGTTCTCAATTATCGAAAACACTTATCGATTTTCGCATTCCTCTTCCCATCGTTGGCAAATATTGCCCGTCTTTGGGCAAGGCTTGCGAAGTCGCACAAGTCGCACACAGAGAATGATATTAACTTCACCTTGATCACATTAGATGACAAAATCAAGAAAGAATCGAAAAGATAAAAGCCACCTCAGCAAGAAGCGAGCCGAACGTTGGTACAAAAGATTAATTGCTGCAGAAGTTAAAAGGGAAGAAAAGAAGCGCCAAAAGAGCGATTAATTAAAAAAATTAAACAGCGAAGATTCTGCACCGAGTTTTTCGCCCTCGAGTTCACTTATTTCCGAACATTGCGAGACGCATTCCTTCCAATCTGGATCGCCATCGCCTACATCTTACGATAGCGTTTGTCATAAACTGTATTATGTTAATCGCCCGAACGAGTAAAAATTAGCTTTCGCCATTAATCCTATCGACACAAATAAATCTTACCCTACTAAACATTTGTAAAACTTATCCGATTAGAAGCTCGAGTATTTACTATATCTACATATATATATTTATTGTACACGACCATATACTATTTCTATATTTGTATCCGACGATACTTATAACCGACATTGTAACACCTTTAATCGACAAAATCGAATAAATTATAACATATTTACATCAATATAACTCAATCGGACGAAATAAATATATTTGGCAATATCAATTGTCTATTCCGAATAACTTTAATCCTCTCCCGTGCCAGTACTGCTGCGCATAGCAGGTTAGCCGAAAAGTGGAATTCATTTGCCAGTTGCATTAAACGTTAGTTAACGCTACCCATTATACGTAAATTACCGGATAAAACTCTTACGAAGTTCAGGAAATACGCGACAGACGAAGGTACAAAGATTTGTTTTCCTACAGCCAAGAACGTGCTACAGATGCACTTCCAGACTGGGAATTCAATCTAGTTACCAAAGACACTATAGACGAACAATACCCATATAAACGATTAATTGCTGCAGAAGTTAAAAGGGAAGAAAAGAGGCGCCGAGAAGAGTTAGAATTAAATCGCGAAGATTCTGCACCGAGTTTTTCGCCCTCGAGTTCACCTATTTCCGAACATTGCGAGACGCATTCCTCCCAATTTCGATTACCATCGCCCACATCATACAATAGCGTTTATCATAAACCATATTGTGTTAATCGCCCGAAAGAGTAGAAATTAGTCTTCGTCATTAATCCTACCGCAATAAATAAATCTTATCGAACATTTCTGAAACCCTATCCGACCAGTAGCTCGAACATTCACTATATCTATATACATACTTACTATATACTACCGTATAATACATCTATATTTGTATCCGACGATACTTATAACCGACATTGTAATACCTTTAATCGACAAAAATCGAATAAATTATAACATATTTACATTAATATAACTCAATCGGACGAAATAAATATATTTGTCAATATCAATTGTCTATTCCGAATAACTTTAATCCGCTCCCGTGCCAGTACTCCTGCGCATAGCAGGTTAGCCGAAAAGTGGAATTCGTTTGCCAGTTGCATTAAACGTTAGTTAACGCTACCCATTAAACGTAAATTATTGGATAAGCACTTACGAAGTAACAAAAACCCCGACAAACGAAGATACAAGGATTGTTTTCCTACAGTCAAGAAGGTGCTTACAGAGGCACTTCCAGACTGGGAATTCAATCTAGTAGTTACCAAAAGACACGACAGACGAACAATACCCATCACACACTAACACTCCTAGCTTAAAGAAAATAATAATAATAATAACAATAAAAAAAATTTTTGAACTTAGACTATTTCTGGTGGCAGCATCTACCGTATTAATCAGAAATCTAAATCAATATTTCATACACAATAATATCATTTCAATAGCAATCATATCATTTCAATATTTCCCTTCTGATGAAATCCAAAATCAAACAGAAAATAAGTTAAACAAAAATATTAAATTTAATTTGAATTAAACAAACGAATACGTAACAGAGAGATTTATTTTTTGGTGGCAGCGGTGGGATACGCTTCCACAGAGGATTAAAGTTATTTTAAACGGTGGGATGCGCGCCACGGGGGATTAAAGTTGGTTTAGACGGTGGGATAGGTTCCACGGAGGATTAAAGTTGTTACGATTATCGATAAAATATATAACTAAGAAATAATGGCTACTAAATTAGAATCATTGGACAAAGACATGATCTTGATGTTATCGGAAAAACTTAAAGCATGGGATGCGAAGTTTCGCGACATTAGTACAAAAATGAATAAATTACAAGAAGATGTGCGTTCACTGAAAATAAAAAAAGAAATCAAGACACCCGTATCATCGCCGATAATTTCCCAAGCGACGATACCGATAGAAGTTAATCCCCAACCAATTAAGTTAAAAGATGCAATAGAGACAGTACCAGTGTTCGACGGACATCGACCCTCGGTATTTCGATTTTTAAGAGCATGCGAGTGTCACGTAATTTTTAGGGTTGGTTGGTGGGAATAAAATATAGTTGAGTCGTAACACAACAATTAACTATGTTTTAATCAACCTTTATTGTGAATTCACCAATCACAATGTAACACGCACTGAATTAGCATAAATCACAATTCACTCCAACCACGTTATGTAAGACTTAGTTACAACAATACATTAAGTACGCGACTTATAAGGGTAGAGACCGATATAGATATGTTGACTATTCTAAGGATACAGAATAAGTGAAGTTTTACTGACGATACTGTGTCTGAGGAAAGCTAGGGGTGGGTGTGTCTAAGGACACGGTACTATCGGATTTGTTGATGACAATTTTGGTTAAGGAAGTGAGGGCAGTAGACACCGTCTCCGATTGGATAATGGGACGGTTGGTGGACCAGGAAGGGTTTTAGCCGCCCTCGCGAGAAAGTTGCCAACGGAACATACCAGATGTGGAGAAAACAAACTTTCTAAGCTAACACGTGGTAAACAATAAACGTAAAGAGAGATTTAAGACAGGAAATACTCGCTTGGTCCGAAGGACCTTAACTATAAAAATGCCAAGGCCCCTGGTGGGCACTTAAGACTATTGAGGGTGCGCGCCAAGGATATGCAGACATCTGGATGCCATCCTGTCCGTGGTGTGTGGCCTGGTATCTGATATGAATTGACGTTACATACCCCCCTTCTTAGATTGATTTTGGTCCTCCAAAATCTCAGGGTTTCTGCGGATTATGTCTAGATCAATTGGCTTTTCTGGTAATATTGCTGTTTGCGTGTTGGCTAAATATATTATAGTTATGAAGGCCGTCCTGAAAAATAAGGTTTTAAGCGGTTTCCATTAATTTTCTTGATATTACCTTCTATTAAAACCTCATAATACGGTGTTTTAACTTTTTCAATGGTGTAGGGTCCTAGCCACTCTATGTCTAATTTATGCTCTTTATGGTCGTTGTGTATTAAGACTCTATCCCCTTCTCTAAATATTGACTGTGGTTTTATTATTCGTCGTCTCTGATCTCTTTGATATCTTTGTTTACTTTTAATCAATTGGTCGCGAGCTTTCGAAAGTCTAGAATCCCATTCTCGTTTTCTGAATGCTACTTCGTCCGCGTAAGTGCGTTGTGGATTTCGTGAAATGGTCGAGGGTAAATTTGCTTTATGTCCGAATGTCAATTCAAAAGGTGTATAACCGGTCGAGTCGTGTATCATCGTATTGTAGGCTAGGCATATGAAATTTAAATGTTCGTCCCATTCTTCCCCTGAGTCCCTTTGAACACACTTTAGCATATCTGCTATTACAGCGTGAGTTCGCTCTAATGATCCATTACTTTGGGGGTGGAAGCTAGTAGTTTTAATGTGTTTTATTTTGAAGGCTTCTTCGTATTTTTGCATTAAACTACTAATAAAATTTTGTCCTCTGTCTGTCAGTATTTTCTTAGGTGCTGAGAATATGTATATGTAATGGTCTAACAGGGAATTCCAAATAGTTTCTGTTTGTTGGTTTTTTATAGGAACAAGGATAAGGTATTTTGTGAGTTCATCGTGAATGGAGAGTATAAAGCAATTGCCTCGTTTCGTTTTCTTCAATGGTCCTAATATATCCATGGCTATCTTGTCATTGGGTTCCAATGGTGTGTCGGTTATACATGGTTCTTCTTTGGGTCGAATCCTAGTCATTTTTGCGGTTTGACAGGTCTCACAAGTTTCTATTCTGGTTTTTATTCTGTCCATTAGGTGTGGGATACTATATTTGTCTCTGATTCTGTCGTACGTTTTTTGTATTCCGGGATGTCCTATCAAGTCATGATTTTCTTTCAGCATTTGTTCTATCTCTTCGTCACTTAAGCTCTGTATTGGTTCGTATCTTGAGTCCTACTTCCTTAAGTCTTTGTAAAACTATTGCTAAA